TGCTGACAAGAATAATAATAAACAATTTGCTCAAGAATCAATATTAAGAAAATGTAGAACAAAAGAAAAGAAAGTACCTGATCTAGTGAATTTCACAACAGAACAATAAAAGAAATTTAAATTCTGAATAAAAAACAAATTTCTAGAAACCTATTCTAATTAAAAGTAAAAAATGGTTCCCAAGAACTTAAAGAGACCTGGCATAATTTCAAGTTAGCAATTATCAAGAGTACTTATAAATATTTTAAAAAAAAAAGGATCTACTCTACTTCTAATATAAAGAAAGAAGTGAAGCCTGGATTATCAATTCCAAAGGAAGACTTCAAAGCCTATAGAAAAACTAATAATATCTATTTTTTTTTGAAAAAAATACAAGTCAACTGGATATAAGAATCTAATAAACATAGAAAAGATCATATAGAAACTAAGAAGATTGGATAAATTTATCGATAAAGAAATAGCTCCTCCCTGATTATGAGAAGAATTTCAAAGCTATAGTATTATCAAAAATTATTAAAATAGAGTATAGCCTCAAAATGATATATAAGAAGAAAGAAAGTTTTCATATTAGAAATCAAATTAAAAAGCCTTAGAAAGCAGGTATGAAAACCTCAAGTCCAACCAAAGATAGATGCTAGGCTCAATTTTGAACTGCAAAAGATCAAGAATAAAAAAAAAATAGAATATATAGTTACTGATTCACAAACTATTAAAAGCAAGGCCAAAGACTATTATAAAGAAGTTTTCAAACAAAGGAATGTCAACTTATAAAGCTTGAATCCTTTTTGGAAAAAAGAATATCAATTCAAAGAGTGGATCAATCCAATATGATATTTACTACTAATAGAGAAAAACAAAATAAAAAAGCTCATAACTATTTTACAATATCTTCCAAATAATAAGGTAGTTGATTTCTTATATATCAGTTATGAAACAATAAAGCACTTAGGTATTAAAGGAAAAGGGACCTTATGCTTAATAAAAGTAGTAATATTTATCCTATCCCTAAATTCAAGCCTTGAAAATATCAATTGACAACATCAGATCCATTGTTCTTCTAGAAATAGCTCAGAAATGTTTCACCAAAATTTATACCAATTGTTTATCAAGGATTTGTAAACAACACAAAATCTTTAAATATCCAAACTTTGTTGTTTTATTAGACGAAAGTATGGCAGAACCCATCCACCTATTAAATAAATATATAAGAAAGCTAGAGAAAAGAAAAAAAACTATGGATTCTTCTTCAAGGCATTCCTAAGGTATATTATATAATATTCCTCTTTATACTTGAAAAAATTATAAATTAAATTCAAATTCTTACAATTATTAAGAAGATTATAATAGATTTTTTTCAAGACAGAAGTTATAGTATCATTCTTCCCAATGAACTTTCTAACCCAATAGTTACAGAAAATAGCATAAATCAAGGAAAAATAATCTTCTACTGTTATGAAGAATTTTTTATAACTTGCTACTATATAAAATCCAAAATAACAACAATCTGAATTATACTATGGAAAAAGAATGATCACCCAACTTTCACAAATCTAAGGAAAAGATCAAGCTCTTTTTAAGGCAGACAGTGATAGTTATATAGATGATACAATATGGATTATTAAATTCAAAAAAGACTTAAAACATATTTTGAAAGAAACAAAAAAGTTTTCATAACAAATAACTCACAAATTAATATAACAAAGTCTATCCTCTTTACTATCAACTGAAATTCTCAAGATCCTGAAAGAGTTCAAACTGGAATAAAGGATATCATAATTAATGAAATTGATAAAAGGATTAGATCCAATTCTTTGATATCTAGTTGAAATTAAAATAGAAAAGTTAGGATATGATTAGTTTAATAAAATCAAAAATTAGGGTATTAGTCCAAGCAATATCTAAGAAGTTGATGAAAAAATATACTTGATTTATTATTAATAGAGTGCTAATCCCAAGAATAGAATATAGAATATAATACATGTATATGCATCTTAATAAAAATATATGTGATAAACTTACCGCTATATTCAGAAAGGCTTTTAAGAACAAAGCCTTAATCTATAAAACAATCCCAAAGTTGCATCTATAATAAAGAAATATATGATCTCAAAGTATCTAGGAAATACAATTAAAAAGCTATATACCAGTGCTATTCTGCCAGCTCAACAATAGTGAGACCTCCAGTATAACAACCATAATCTTGTTGAAATAGAGTCAAGTCAAAGACTAAAAACCTGGAAATATCTTAAATAATCCTATAAACTTATGCAAGATGATCAAAGGAAACCTGGCAGCTGTAACATTGGTCCTGATCAAAGATTTACAAATCACCTTTTAAAGTTGAAGATAGAAGAAAACCTTTAATTATCAAGAAGATATCTTATCTATTAAGTCAATATTGCAAAATGATAAAGAATATAAAAAAGCCATTTCATCACTTTGTAAGCACAAGATTATATTTTTAGATCAAATTATTAATATAACTATAATAATATTCAAGAAATGAAGAGCAATCCAGATTCTCTTTAACAAATGCAAAGGACTAGTCCCCTCTTGATACAAAAAGATCTATAAAAAGGTAATAAATAATTATAATCTTCTAAGAAAGTTATTACACAAACTAGACTGGACAAGCTATAATATTCAAACTGAAGCTTTTTAATATATCCAGATAGATGAAAAATATATTAGGCAATCTGCTCTAGTTCTTCAACTAACATATTGGAAAAGATATTATTCTTGAATAACAAAATCCAGTTTGCTTCATATCAGTTGATATATAACTCTACTAGGAACTATACTTTACTTAAATCAGATAGATTATCCCAAGTAACAAAAGTAGGTATATCACAAGTTCATCTTCTTCTACAGTTAAATAAACATGAAAATCTGAGAAAAAAAACAAGTTCTCTTGCTAAGCAACCTCATAGATTAGCAAATAGCTATAAGGTAACAAACAATAATTTTATTAATATCTAAATCTGAAGTGAGAATTCAAATAGAAAACTGGAAAGCCATACTAATAAAAAAAGCAATTTGATCAGAAAAACATATAAATAAACTTACAGATATTCTGAAATATAATAGAAGATATATGATCAATTAGTTTATTTTCTATACAGATGGCTCTTATAAAAAAGGAACAAAAGATAATAAGCTTGAAATAGGTCTGACCTGGGTTCTAGTGGAAAATAACAAAGTTGTGAAACAATTCTTAGTAGGAGTATCAACATGACTATTAGTAAACAGGGCAGAAATATTAACTATTTTAATTGTAATATATATAGTTCCCTAAAATATAATAGTTTCAATCTTTTCTGATTGTAGTACTATAATCAAAACATGAAAGTCCATCAATTCATAAGTGAAGATATCAACAAGGAGATGAGTAAAGACTATTAATTAGCCATTATAAAATAAAATTAAAGATCTAGTTAAAAAGAAAGATTCCATCTTGGAAATTATGAAAATCAGAGTTCATAGGATTGATAAGTTTAATAATCAAGTACATTTACTTATTAAACAAGCTAAACATAAGAATTCTATAATTTGGTATTAACTATTAAAGTTAATAACAGTTCTTACAATAGTTATATAGAATAAGTACACAATAGAGATCAATATTAGAAAATTTATTAAAACATTCAATAGGAAAAAATTGAAAAGATTAAATGGCACAGCAAAGAATTGAAGAATTATAGATTCAAAATAACAAAATTATTAACTGGTTAACCTTTTGGAATTAGTTCAATCTATTCAATACCTTTAATATCTCTTTTAAAGACAATAAAGGTAAAAGCTTCTTAATTAACTTAATCCACGATGAACTTCCAGTATTGCAAATACTCAAGAAAAGAAAATCAGATATTTATATTATAATAATCTATCCAATATGTAAACTTCAAGAAAAAACATTAGGACATTTGTTTGAATGTTTGTTTATTAAAAAAATCAGAAAATATATATGGAGAAAAGCAAAAAAAAATATTGACTGCTATATTAGTAAAGAAATTAAAGACAAAAAAGAAGTGTGTCCTATAATTAATGACTAAACAAATAAATGGTTAAATGAGATTCAGTGATCTGACAGAAGTCTTTTTAATACTATATGTAAATACATGAAAAAAAATGAAATCACTTTCTTGAAGAATTATCTTAAAGCACAACTCAAAATTCTCTCAACAGTTATATAGAGTATAATTGATAAGCTTTGTTATAAGATGGGAAAAAATTTCAAAGAGAATATATGGAACAGCCATTGCAAAAAAAGTAATAGAGTAAGAAAAGAAGCAAAATATTATTAAAGAGGACAAAATAATCAAAAGACCTGAACATAGATTTAACATGTAGATCATACAAAAACAAGAAGAACCTACATTTTCAAAAGATCCAAAGCAAGAAGTTTTTGAAAGAAAGGAGAAAATAAAGTATATAGAAATTATCAAAAATAGAATTTGTTATAGAAGAAAATGGTTTGGTTTTTAACTGCAGTTGGAATTTAGAATAGTCTACAGTAATAACCTGTAGGCAATGATTTTATTGGCTAGAGGATTTATTTAAGTTAGTAAAGAAGTAAAATATCATTTCCTAAGTTACATTTAGAGAAATAATTTTTCAATGATGGGTGAGTTAGTATGTAAAAGTCAAAAACATCTTGTAAATATCTTTATATATACAATAAAGACAAGCCATACTGACCTGACTGTGAGTTAAAAAAAAAATTCCAGAAATATTACTAGGATTTAGTGTGCATCACGTGATATATTCGCGTTTTTTTTGGAAGACAATTGGCCAATAAGCATTAAAATCACTATTTTCAAAAAAAAACAAGAAAGTTTTATTTACAAATTAACAGGGAACTTCGTAATATACCACACTACGATAATTATAAAACTCCCGCACCCAAGGAATGTATATTTTATTACTACTCGCTCTATAAACAATTCCTCTCCTGGAAAGAGCAAATTTTTAGTATTTACAGGAAAAAGCTATAACTGTACAATCATCATAACGCCCCTGATCCTTTTCAAATATATCTAAACTATCTTTCGTTCTATCACACAATGCTCCGGCAAGATCATGAAGTTGCTCTCCGGTCAACATGTTTTTGGCTGTATCAGCATTCGAAGAAGCTGTGTGATATTTTTGGGGGATCCGTTCCGCAACACTATCGCTACTTTCATCAGAAGATGAACTAGTTATATAACTAGAATCTTCACAACTTTTTAGTAATCCCAAGTATCTGGCAAGTTTTCGTACAAATTCTGGCATTTTAACATTCATATGATCCCACAGTCCGTCGGGGGCCATAACGCCAATGTAATCCACTCCGGATTCCATAATCAAAAAATCCACATCTGCTTCGCAAGGAAATAACGGAGGATCGAGTTTGAAAAATAAATCACCCATTGTATCACCAAGATTAAGGGAAAAGTCATTTGATAAACCGAAAGGATTTTGAAAATCTGGAGGTCGGTAGATACGAGCTTTCTGTAAGCTAGAATACATTTTTAATTGGGATGATGGAGTTGAATCGGCCGGATATGCTGGTGGATTGATTTTAGGTTTGATGATTTTTTCGTTTTCTTCACGACGAAATATGCCTCCGTTGCTGTATACATGGTACGCTTTGCTTGGATGACCCGGCGATTGAATTGTGGACTGGTAAGCCAGTTCGAGGGGGACCTTACCGGGTGTTTTCGACGGAACCCTTTTGCATATGGCGGTTTTCGAATCTCCAAGATTGCAGATGATCACTACACCATCATACAAAATAACAATAAGTAGAGTCGAACCCTGATCCGACGGCATTGGATCTGGGTAACCGTTGTTTGTCCACTCGGAAAATTTGCGTATTTGCGAATCCAAATAGTCTCTGTCAAGTTTCTTATACATTTCACGTATCTTTTCGCGAAATAACCGTTGATCTTCTGGTTCTCTAAATGACCATAAAGGGTGAGAACATAAAACTTCTTGCACTGCCTCCGGAACCATTCGACAAAAGTGCCTAGACGCATTTGAGCCTCCATGTCCGTCAGCCAATACGAAGAGGGTATAAGGCGTATCGGATGGATAATGCACCTTCTCATTGGCCATGAAAGGTACATAATAAGCATCTTCCATGTCCGCATGGGTATTTATCGCGGCTTGTCCAGAACGGCGTCCTCCAGTCTCCCAACCTTGTTGTTGTGATACTCCAAAGAAAATGGACGCGCCAGCATTTAATTTAAATTTAAGTGCAGTCGAGGGTTCGCTTATTTGCTTTCGACAGTCGCGAACTTTGCGTATCGAGCGTCGTGGTATGGTATTCTCATTCTTCTTAATAATTTGTCCCTTTTTCGGCAAAGAATAATGTGTCGCGTCGTCAACGTCAATTGAAATGGTTTTCACGTTGTTTTGCCAATTGACTCCCGAGGTTTCGTCGGATTGCTGCGCATGTGTTATCAAATTGTCAAATTGTAGAACTTTCCCGGACCTTTTCCGTTTGTGTTTTTAAAGAAAGGTGATTTAACGTATAGTTGATTCAGTTTGAATGATTATTATTACTTACGCTGCATTTAAACTCTACGACCTCCTCAAATTTTTTAAAATAAAAGACCTACCAATTTAACGCTGTGCTATCCGAAGAATCGAAAGGCATTAATTCAACCACATTTCTTCTGACACGCTTTTGTTCAAGTCGAGTTGAACGTCTGGTTGCGGTCAAATTTTCGGGTGTCCTCTTGGGCATTCTTCTGAGGTGGGAAATACTGTATGTGAGAAGTTTTTCTATATTCTAACGGAGTTCAAATTATCGACACACTGCGGACCAATATCAGGTATTTACTATATCAAGACTTCTAGGTGGTACATAGACATACGAGCTAATTATCCTCACGCGATTTCCTGGTAACGGCAATCTTTATCACGTGACAAATGTTTAGAAAATAATTTTTCTGATTTGCAAATCAATTATAATTCTCTGTTAGGCTGGTTACATATGCTTTAAACAATTTTTTTTTTTAAACCCTTAGCCAGGTTAGATATGTGTGATTTATTAAACATTTGTATACTTTATATTTAAAATGTTTCACTAAAGCTTAATCTTTATCTAACTCATTCATCTCTGTTTTATGAATTTTCTAAAACTCTAAGTGTAACTTTGAAAGTGATTTATCACTACATTAGTAGTTCAGGTAAAAACCCTTCCAACTGCTAACTTTATAATTTACAGGTTACTACTGCAGAACACTCTATGAGATTCTGACTAGATTTAAAATCCTAATCAATTTATTTCATATTCTATCCTTCTTATTATAATCTTTTTGAGATTTTTATTTTCTAAGTGTCCTTCTTCCATTGATAGTTTCTTTTTTATTGGAGGTATGATTTTTTGACTTGGAGAATACTAAGATCTCTTGATCTTATTTTTTCTACAGATTCTCTGTGTTGCTTCCACTCAATTATTTTCTTACATCTTATGTTCCAAATTTTTTTTTGAACTTAGTTATAGACTTTTTTCTATATTTTTAATATCCATCTTCTTGCTTCTTTTCCTATTCATTTTTTATAACATTTTAGATCTACCATTTGTTGAATAAAATCATTTTTATAAGGCTAGCATAGAAGTTTAGGGTGCCTTGACTAGTTTTTGAAGTTTGTTCTACTAGTCCAGAGATCCATTTGTCTAGCTTCATTAGTTCTTCATATTATTTATAATTAGTCTGGAGTTTTTCTCTTTGACTTTTTTTTTTCTTTCTTGCAAAAGTCCTTTGAAGTCTTTAAGAGTTTCATTTATTCTCTTTTTCTATATCTCTTGTACTTCTTTCTTATAAGCTAGGTAATCGAGCAAGTATTCTATTATTTCCTCTTAATAATTATATATGATACATTTAACTTGCTTATATAGATCAGGTCTTCTAGTAACCAATTTGCTTAAGGTTGGTAGTTCATCATTAGTCAATTTAATGAGAAAGCTTTTTTGTTGTGATTGTTTGAAAGATATATTCCATATATATCCATCTTTTATTCTCTCTTACATTAGATTCCATATATGGTTTTGTTGATTTAAAATTTGGTGACATCATCTTTTCTCTATTCTATTTTGTTGTGTCAATTGATAGGTCATTGTTTTGTTGTTAACATTCTTAATAAACTATCTTATTGAATCATCTACAGTTATATCCTACCACTTAACTTCTATGAGAATCTTATATAAGGTAAGATTTTTTCATTTGATTGATGGAAGTTTTAAGGCTTTTTTGGCTAAAGCATCTGCTTCTTCATTATAAAAATCATTGATATATATCTTGACTTTAGTAAGCTTTAAATCTATACTTTTTTTTTGAATTAACTTATTCTTTCATATCCAAAGGGACTGGTTTTTCTCTTTTAACTATATTTTATAAGTTCTCTTTAAATTTTCTTTTTTAATTATCTTCCATTTGGATATATATGTGTGACTATCTATACAAATCTCAACAGTACTATTGATCAGAACTATCAGAAGTATAGTTACAATTGTTACTAACTCTGCTCTTATGGATGAGGGCAAGTTATTTACTCTTGTTTAAAACTTATTTTTTATACCTCCTGTTTCTATCTGAATCCATGCTGCTCTTATTCTCATTTTTTCTTTTCTGTAATTAATAAGTGATCTATTAGAATAAAAGATTGACTTTTCTTTGGATCCAAGATTGCACTGGAGTATATCAATTAGATGATCTTGATATATTTCTTCTTTAATATTTTCCTTAATAATGGTTTCTTCTCAAGTTTATATATCTATATAATCTACTTTATTATTTTGAAAAGATATTTTAGGCAAGTCTTGATCAGTATAGATTCAGTTTTAAATTATCTTTTCCAGGGCAGTCTTGAGATTTGAAATTATTACTTCTCACATTCTTCTGATGAATATTCTTGTATTGAGATATGGTATAGTATATAGTTTCTCTATACTTTCTTTTATAATATAACTGTTATCTTGTATTATTCCTTCTAAGTATTTAGAACACCTTTGTAACTTTGTTTCCTGACTATTATTAGTATTATAGCAAATAAAATGTTTTACTTTGGCCTTATATCCTGCTATTTCTTGTTTCAAATTTTTCCAAGTTATTTGCTTCTTATTGTTATTTCCTATCACTATCTATAGCTTTTGTCATTTATCTCTATTGGATTCTACTATAGAGTATTCTGATTCCTATTTCATACAATTCTCTTTTCAGGTTTTTATAATCTGTTACAATCGATTCTTTGAAAAGACTTTTGTTATAGTTTGAAACCATACTGAAATAGGACCTTTACCTATTTTCTGTAAGAGTTAAAGCATTTTCCAATTTTTTATTTGCTCGACTTCCTGATCAAGCAACTGATCTAAATATATCAATCTATTATTTCTAAGCAATAGTATAGTTTTTTTATAATCTTTGGGTATGAGGTATTCTTGAATATAACTATTTTCCTTATTCCATTCAAAATGTTTGCCATTTTCAACTATGAAAAGTTATTCCCATATCTTTTGCTAGCTTAATTACTTGAAGTGTAAAATTGCCTCTGTCTAATAAATGTTTTGAGCTTTACAGGTTAATAAATTGAGTGGTTCCCAGTTTTTTATCTGTGCTTGTTTAAGTCTAATAATAGTTGTGATTCCTGCTGATCCAGAATTATTTAGTCTATTGCAAAGACCTAATATTTGGCTTTCATATTGTAGCATCCAGATACTTTTCAAGTTATGAATCTTTGAATAGTGAATTACACTATTAGGTATTAATTTGCATAAAGTGTTTTTGTTTTTGAAAAGTTTTCTATATACTACTATTAGGGTATTACAAATTTTTCAGGACAATATACTATGTTGCATTCTAAATTCTAGTTTGGAAATTAGCATCCTATTTAGAATATAGAGAGCTTGTTTGTTTATTACTCTTTTGTTCTTGAGAGTTATACTTATTGTATTAATTTCTCTAAGCACCCACTCTTTAAGTTTTGTTGTAATATTTTGACTACCTGTTCAGATTCCAAAGAATCTGGCTTGTTTTGTTCTATCAAACTTTTTAATCACTTTATTTTTTATACCTACTTGAATTTCTTCTAGATAGCAATTAGAATTATTGATTGTTACCAAGACTGACTTGTTACTATTGATCTGGAAGTTATTTGCTTGATAAAATATTTTTGCTGTTTTAGAATCTTTTTCATATCTTTTTTGGATCTTGCTATCCATATCATATTATTTATAAAGATTATAGCTATATATCTTGATTCTAGCTTTTTAATAAAATGTTCTTTTAAATCTAAGTTCCAATTTACTGACATTTTATAACCTCTTTGTGTATCATTCTGAATCTTGCAAAGTAGAGGATTATAAAAGATTTGCTATAGTAGTGGTGAAATAGTTTCTTCTTGATCAATTTCATCTTCTAATATAATAGATTCTGTGAGATCATTTTCAAATATACTGTAACTTGAAATTCTCTATTCTGGAACAAACTCATCATGATCTTGATAAAGCCTTTTAATGCTTTGATCCTTTTTATTGCTTTTATTAATATTTCTAAATCAATTGTATTTTATATTTTGATGATATCCTAGAAGAGTATCCACAGTTAATGATAGGTCCCTAAAGTATTTAGCATATAAAATTTCACAAATCACTTATGTCCCTTTTTGAGAAACAAAATTCATAACTCTTCACTTTAATAGGGACAAAAGTCTGAAAATGCTATAAATCAATAATTTGAATAATAAAGAACAATTGTGGATAGTTTTTTAATAGTTATTAATTTAAAAATTTTAAAGTTTTCTAGTAAGGGACATTTGACTTTTGTCCCTACCTCCCCCTTTAGGAACCTATCTTTATCTACAGTTCCTTTTTATTTTTTTTAGCATCTTCACAAATATTATTATGGATTTGAACTAGCTCTACTATACTCTCTCCTGGTAATTCTGCATAGTTGAAACCTTTGAGAATGTTATTGGTTTTGCAAATATCTCACATTCTGTTGATAAAAACTTTGGTGAAACACTTTCTTGTAACTTCTAGTAGAACTATAGGTTGATTATTTGAAAGTTTACATCCTCATGACTTTGATTTGGCTATAGGATATATTGTATATAATTTTGTTTTTAATATATTGAGATTACTTTCCTCTTAAAAAGTTGTTGAGCATCCTTCTCAGGTATTTCCTTCTCTCCAAACTTAGCTTCTTTAACATTTTATAGCTAATTTGAGATTTTTCTGAGGCTTTATTATTTTGAAGTGTACTAAATGTTTTATTTAATTTTTCTTAGAAGATTGGTTCAAGTAGATCTTTATACCAGGCTACTTTAATATATTTTTTAGGTCTGTATTGTTCTTTTCAGTTCTTCGTTAGGCTTTTATAACTAGCCTTTCTTTTCTTGAAAGCTTCTTGATGATATCATCTTATCTCTTTAACAATTTCACCTTTTTGAGTCGTGATATACTCAATATTATCTTGCTTAATCTTGATCCTATTAAGTACTATTTTCTTTCTAGTTTGGTTTGTCAAAGAGTTGACTATTCATCTTTAATTGTTTCTCAGATCATCACACCATTGTTCTAAAGTAGTTTTAATAATATTTCTTGTTTTTCTAGCTTTTAGTCTTTGTAACACAATCTTTAAACCTTCTATTATATTCTGGATATCTTTTTTAAGGAACTCTAGAATATATTAGAGATACTGTATTGAGTACAAAGGTTTTCAATCTAATAATTAGGTTTGTGAA